ATTCTTGAATACTCTTGATTAGTTACTATGTAAAACCCCCAAATTCTCGAATACTCTTGATTAGTTACTATGTAAAACCCCAGAATTGGAATTGGAATTCCTCTTCATACATGAGGATTATAATGGATTATATAACTATTAATCAAGAGTCTACATCACTGAACGAAAAAGCGGAGCGGAAGTCGGTCGCCAACTGCGCCGGAGGAGTTCATCCGACGATCCGAGTTGCATAGCCATCCACACGATCCACGCCGCTGTTGTCTCTTTCCTTTTAAAGTAATTTGGAAGAAAGAAACACCATCTAGCTACACCATCCACATCTAGCTACATCTAGCTCTCCGCATACGAGTTGGATTCCATTGATCTGTGAAGCCAGTTTCCCGCTCTCCACGGATTCCCTTGGGGCTGAATGTCCCGCCCCACAACAGCCTAGAGCCCTTTGCCCTTGAGCCCAGTCAGCCGGTGTTTTCGAGCCCATCAAGAACCATGTGCTTTGCAGACAGGATGCGGGCAGCATGCATCTTGCAGTTTTCACTCAGAATATCTTCGATCTCCACCTCAATGGTGTGCCTTGAAACCTGCCCCCGACCGAATGCGGTCGGGTCGTGGTGAGGTTCTGGCGCCGTTTGTTGGGAAGGTTGATGGAACAAGGACATCACCGGCAAACAACATGCAAAAAACACACATCATAGGCTCATTATACAATGCTCATTATACACAATCATGTACATCACACCTACATTTTTCACAGTGGTTTGGCATCGCCCACCTGCAGGTCATGCAGGTGGAGGAGGCTCTGCTCTCTGTAGATACGCTGCCTCAAGTCCTCCTCGAAGGCCCTTAAGACCTGGCAGACTCGGATTCACACTTCATTCTGAAACATATAGATACCTAGCACTTCCAATGGGTGCCCTGTCTGGAGACCCAATCAAGTAGTGTGGGCTTGTCCACTGGTGACCCGTTGGGAGCAGCTGGTGCTGTACATAAAGCTATAGATAGAATGATCGAGACAAATGAAAGATAGGTGTAGAAACAAATATAAATATAGTAAGGAAACTGATGGAGGAATCGAAAAGACCGAGCTAGCGAAGGAACCTTGTAACTAGTTAAATAGGCCAATTTGATAGAGATACAGGGATACACATGCAAATGTAGTGGGTTGAGAGTAGATAGCACAATCCCCAGAAGGTTGTTTATATGGACCCCATCTAAAAGTCATCTTGGATTTTGTCCAAACCACTGTGCAATACATGACGTTACAAATACAGTACAATGCGATACAATACTACAATGCACTAGATGTATACACATACAGACTATTGAAGAATTCATAATTGTAACTGTATGAAACTGCACATGATTGTATATGTATCATTGTATAAGGCAGGCCTTCTATTCATTTCACTCTAGCAGTGGATGGCTTGGAGCTGGACGTGCACACGAGCGGACGGCTTGCAAAAAAAATCATCGGATTTGCTGAATCCGAACCGGGAAAAACATCTTCCCCCAAAAAACACTCACCCAGGTTTTAAATGAAAACCAGGTCATAGAGCACCTGATTATCAGTCACGGGTCATTGCACCGGACCAAGGTCTGAGCGGAAAGGAGACAACCTGGCACCCTGACAGAACAGGGCACAAGCAGGGATGTCAATATGGTGCCTCCTCACAATAGACACCTAGTGAACTCATCACTGTTACAAGGTGGAAGCTGCCCACAACAGAGCCACATGTAATTATAAGAATAGTGAGTGCGCCAACAACATGGCCATGTCGTTATATCAGCACCAGCACATGCAAACAATCAGTCCCTGCGGCTGAACTCGTGCGCATCTTGAAAAAATCTTCGAGGATCTCTTGAGATCCTGAAATCGGTCACTTCGTCCGAATCGCTTCACTTAGAGACTCCGATCACGACGTCCATTTACCTCGCCCCAAAATCGAACATTCACGTCAAAGCCTTGGCCCCAAACAACGCCTCTCTTGGGGTCGGCCGAACATACCAACCTGACGACCAAACTGGACGCGCGCACATGGTCACGTGGGACTACGGCCTCTGCCACGTGGGTGCCTCCATAGCTCTTGCTCCACAATTGGTCCGTGATCTCGCCCAAACGCTTGAGGGGTCCTGGAAGGGGGCACGAGCAGGGAACCGGCGCTGGCACGGTCGAAAATCATGAGGGGTCTCCAGGTGGCCTGGAGTTGATCCATGTCTCCCCTCTCCATCCAAACGCCCAGACGCTCCATGGGACTGCCATATATGCCGATCAGTTGGGGTGGTGCCAGGGGGGTCTTTCTGGCGGCAGTCCTCCAGTCACATGGAGTGGTCTGGGTTTGGTTGGAGTAAAGTCACGAACATGCACGAACCAAAAACGGTACCTGCAGGTTCAAACCAACACCTTAAGTTCAGGATTGTTCAGTCCGCTCAACTTGACTTGGATTACAGGCGGACTGCGGCTGGTGCGGTTCAAAGGTTGAATTGGTTTAGTGATAGATTTCATGGATTTCTAGGGCTTCAATGACATGGATGTTTGGAGTTGACGCTCCCGCGGCTAAACGATCCCATGGGGGGTCGAGGATCGGATCCGGATGGGCCTTCAAGTGGTTGTAAAGGGTCGTGTGAGAAACTCCACCAGGGTATGTTTGATAGAGGATGTTTGGATGAGTTGATCAAAGCAAAGAGTCTCCATCCACTGAAGAGTTTTCCACATGGCCCTGGTTTCGGACCCTTTTTCTCTGCTAACAGGCCGTGCCATCTACTTCCATTCTCGGAGGAGGGTGCATTGTGCCTTCCTTGTACCTGAGAACTGAGGAATTGTCATGAACTGTCCTCGCGAGAAGCCATGCCAGCCCACCATGATCAAGAATCAAAAAGTGCTTGCTGAGCAGTGGGATTGGGATTCTGCCTATCGTACTCTAGTAATAGTATACTTTCTGGATTCCCTTGCCACAAGCGTTCGCCACCAGCTTTCACGCCGCTCTCTGAGCTGCTATGCCATTGCTGAAGCTTTGAGCTGGGAGATCTGGGTGGTCCATCTTTCACCGTCTCACCATTCGGTGAGCACCGATGAGTCAGCCTGTCCCAGTTCGGGCAGCCCGAGGTTAGCACGGACGCCTGTCTCACCGGAGAAGGCGATGTGGCCTGCGAATCCACCTGCAGGATACACCTTGGGTCTATCCCATTGCCAGTAACCGTGGATGATGGTTAGTAGAGGCCTTTCTCAAAAATAGTGATCATCTTTTACTGACTGTTACTGGTAATGGGCTACACCCTAGATACACGTGTAGACTTTTGATTCATAAGCCCATTTGAAGAGGATTATCCAATTCAAACCAGGGGGGGCTTTATGAATCAAGAGTCTACCATCTCAGAACCATCCTGGGTGTCCGCCGATGCGACCGAAGTCCCCTTCCCGGTCACCGGTGAGTGTCCGGGCGACGTGGTCGGGTCGGTGACACGGCTCCTGGGTGCTCTAGGAAGCGCTGGATCATGTTGAACTTGATCGCCTCCCGCACTTGGAGCCACAACTCTTCTTCTCCTTCTCCCATTCTCTTGGCCTCCGGAGTTCGAGTTCGGGAAACGGTGGAAGACAACGGAATCCATCTGGAACCCATCTGGCCGCCACAGTCTTATAACTTACAACTTATCACCTACGGATCCACATACCTTCTCAGAAGGTTCGACTGGACACTTGGACCCTCCTGGCGCCCATCCGATGTGGGTCCATATGGTCCATAGAGTCCATAGGGTTGTGGGGGTTCATGTCATTGAAGCCCCAGAAATCCATGAAATCTATCACTAAACCAATTCAACCTTTGAACCGCACCAGCCGCAGTCCGGCTGTAAGTCAAGTTGAGCGGACTGAACAATCCTGAACTTAAGGTGTTGGTTTGAACCTGCAGGTACCGTTTTTGATTGGTTCGTGTTCGTGACTTTACTCCAAACCCAGACCACTCCATAGGACTGGAGGACTGCCAGAAAGACCACCCTGGCACCAACTGATCGGCATATATGGCAGTCCCATGGAGCGTCTGGGAAATAAAACACATCAAATGAAATACTTTAATTTCATTAACAGCTAGGTAAAGCCATGGCAAGCTCTTTCTTTGATGACTCTCACCATGACTCGCCTCGATCTCTAAACACAGCGAGAATGTCCGTTGGTCCGTTCGGGATGCTCTCGCCTGCTCCACCAAACCCTCAGTGTAGTTCAAGGCGCAAAAGCCGTTGTCGTTCAAATGGCAAAACCTCGTTCGAGCGTTTTGCCAAGCTAAGGAGGCCTAGCGGAACCCCAGGTATCCAAAGTCCGTCAAGTACAGTCAACCCCTGAAACCACCCGTCAATGTAGGTAAATAGAGAACAATATAATAGAACATACGCGGACCGTGTCTTTGTCGGCTGTAGTCGTCTTTGTCGCAGACCGTGCGGATGCATCACATGCATCACATGCTGCAAGATGATGAGGCGTCGGCGTCTCATTCGTCGTGATCAGGTGCGACGAAGCGAATGAAACGGTCTACAAAAAATAAAACACAATGCCGCATACTCACTGTTATACTATGACTTATGTGATGAGTCTCAAAGATCTGCAAAGAATAAATCCAAATACAAATCCGACCTCAAAAGTTGAGCGACCGATGCGGTATCGTTTGGCTCTTGATCAAAGCTTGAATAATGGGACAGTGACATAGCCATCAGAAAACACCAAAGTGTTTTCTTCATACATGTTGATGCCCAGCATCAGCTCACTAGAAAATACACGAACATACTCGAAAGATGCTTGAACCAAAAAACACATACTGTAAATAACCCAAAAACTCTCCACTAGGTCGTCCTTCCCGCCGTGCCGGCGGCACTGACGTCAGGTCGCTCGTCCAAACGGAACTTCTCCGCCAGCGCCAGACACAGCTTCCCCGCCACATCGGTCCTCCGCACCCAGCAAAAGACCTCGGCACCGTCCCTGTGGTGTCCGTGGTCGCTGCGCGCAGTGGACGACCGGAGGACGGGAGGAGGGGACCGGTGGTGGTGGAGTGCTGCAGGGTCGATACGATGGAGTTTTTTCGAACGAACGTGGGTCGGGTGGCCGGGTGCTTTTGGGGGGGCGTTGGAAAACCAGGCCCGGAAGAAGGTTTGAGGGGCCGGAGAGGTCAGATGTTGAGGATGATGAGGTTTTGTTCTTCCCTTCCATCATAAGGTCTATTGAGAAATTGTTGCAACGATCATTTTAGATCATCTAGATTTCTAGAAACGTAAAGCAAGAACATCTGGATCTTGAGCAGCAACCTACTTTATGTAAAGGAGCTGGGATGGTGATTCTGCGCAATCAGGGGTTGAACAACATTGAACAACTAGAGCGGCTACAATGAGCGATGGGGTGGCGCACAAACAGGTTCAACATGTGATGGGATTCGTACGTTCATACCACCATGACGGAGAATGTTGTCTGCTGAGGTGGAGGGAGGCCGATGAAAGCCTCAGTGTCCTTTGGTGAAACTTACATGCGCATACTTGTAAGATTGAACACTACCCGTTGCCATAATTCATTCAAGCAACGGATTCCCACTTTGACCCCGGCTTTCTGAGAAACCAAGCAAATTCCATCAAATTCCTCTTCCACCATTCTCAGATTTCACCAGCTTTTGACGTCCCACCCAAACGCGCAGACTACGCATGAAGCCGCAATGTCCGGTCCATGTCCGGTGACTACCGCTCGACGATGCTCGGTCGCATGTAGGTCACGTCTCGTCCCACCCAGGCGCTGGGTCCAAGATGTACTGCAGCAAATTATCGCCATGAGGCCACCACGCCCCAGCCCAACACCTCAGAGCCGAGAACGAGAGCGTGACAAGAAGCCGGGCGGGATTTTGCTCGCCGGCGAGGTACATCGGCCGGCGGGTGACCAGTCAAGCGAAGCCGTGACTGACCCAGGTGCTGGGTGCAGCTGTGAGAAGATCAACTGATGTTCAAAGGCATCTTCTGGTTCTTCTCAGCTCAGATGCTTCGGGGTGTTTCGATCCACCACCGTGTGCAGACCATCGACCCATGGTTGACGGCGTCAACCCTGGGTCGCATCAACCTGCTTCAAACGAGCGGACAGCGTGTTTCTCCAGTGGATTGGATTGGTACTCTTGGCCAGTATTGGCCAGTGCAATTCACTGGCCGATTTCCTGAGATGCTCTCCTGTCGCGCTCTCTCTCTCCCTCTCTCTACCTCTCTCTTTCCATTCGATGGGAAGCTGGTCCCGCCCGGTCGGAAGTGGAAGTGCCACATGGGTGGCAGGCAATGAACCACAAAGGTCGGCATTCGTCGCAGCTTGCGCAACGTCTACCGCCAGAGTCTAACCGCCATATTCCGTTAAACTACTACAGCCAGCAGTCACAAGACGGGGTGCGATCCATGGAGGTTAGGGGTGCCCATTATCCATGCCCTCACTTAGGGACCAAACACCACCCCTTTGTGACTCCTGGAGTAGACTATAGGCAAATGATGTCATCTAAACGGGATCCCACATTTCCACGTCCGTGCCAACCGTAGATATGGCGGAGCCTTGCTGCCTGCAGTGGTTTTTGGTCACCTTTGGCTGATGGGGGGGGTCTTGCTCCGGCCGTCACGCAAAGAGGACATCTCACAACTTCAGCACAATGCAGCACCTACCAGGACCCTCCAAGGGGTGTCCAATGAACTACCCCACACTACCTATAGGCTTCCATTGGGCACCCCTTGGAGGGTCCTGGTACACAAACACGCAAACACCGCCGCTTCAGGGGAAACAACATCACCTAGCTGGCAGCAACCCAACAGCAGGTCAACTCGCAACTCGATGCGCCACCTCGCATAAGACAGTCACCTTTGGTGAGCCTTCGATTCACCCTGCTTCACCCATACCAACCTCACCGCGCCGCACCGACACGGTCGCCCGTCGACACAGACCGAGCGGCTCGCGGCCGGCGTCTCGATACGTCAGAGCCAGAAGGACTTCAGTTCCATGCGGAAGATGCCACAGCTTTTCCTGCTCCTCTTCCAGTAGTCCTTGGACAGCGGAGAGGACTGAACTGAGCATCACAGTTTTCACAGAGAGTTGGGGGAGGTGGGGCCGCTCTTCACAAAAGGCAGCTCCAGGCTCCTTAGTAATTCCGTTTCTGGCTGTTGTCTATATGTCCCAATTTCGGAGCATCATAACTATACATACTTTTGTGAGTTTGACCAAAGCCCAGAAATTCGTGAGCATCGGACCAGAAGTTCGAGAGTGACCAGCCTTTTGACAACCTTTTTCATCTGGAAAGGTGAGTGTCAGTGCATTCACATGGGCCTCTTCAAGATTGCTCGAATTGTTTGGCCAGTACTTCATCAGTTTCGCCGCCCTGGGGACTTGGGGCACCAGTGTTCGGTTGGGACACTTCGCCATCATGGTGGGGCTTGCCCGCACGTGACCTGGTGCGGGTCCCCCCCATGTTCTCCCCAAAGCCTGATTGGGTTCCCAAATCCTCACATCTTCATGTTCCTCAAGGATCCTCAAGGGGACTTTTGGGCTTGATCCTGTTGACCACTCTACAACAGCCCCCAAAACTATCACACACAAATGATCTCGGGGAATGCGGGATCTTGGGCGACATGAATTATAACATAGATTTGACATCGGTCGCGAGCTCCAACTTGCTCGCGAGCGGGCTCCAACCAAGAAAAACCAGCTGAAAAACAGGAACCGATCCAAAAAACAACCGCTCAGCCCGTCGCGACGGCGGGCTAGGTGTATCCGCCACTGGGCCATGCTAGCGGCTTAAAGATCGGTCGATGGTGTCGACTTGGAGCGATTCCAGTTGGATGAACTCCAGCAGAAGTGTGTCAAATTCAAAGGCCTCAAAGAACGGGTGCCATTTTGGACGGATGTTGGATGGAAAAGGGGAAAGCAAGCTAGAGGATGAGGACAATGAAAAATACATGGACATGTCTTGCTTGCATGTCTTCGTAGTTAGACATATTAGACATGTTTGTTGCTGTCATCTCCTGTCAGCATTGAAGAAGAACGGTTTTGATTGTTGACAATTTCACACAAGATGTTCCCCAACACTGAATCGACACCAGTCACAGGGAAAGGAAAGTGAGCTCCCTTCCCATGTAGCCTCAACAGCCCTGGCCACCTGGGTAAACCCCCTGATCTTTTGGAGAACAAGAAGTTGCAGTTGCAGGCCTTGACTGGTTCAATCTGATTATACTAGGGTGAGATGACTTAGGCCAATTGAGTCGAAATGACATACAACTTTCCCAGGGCAAGTCCTAGTATAATGTTCTTGTTTACTGACTGTGACAGGTCAGTTCGGACAGATCCAACGTAGACATGACATGCATCTGTGGTTCCCCAAGCTCATCCGACTCTCCAAGGGCTCATCCGACTCTCCCAGGGCTCCAAACCCCCCAAACGAGGAACTCCGAACCGATCGTACACCGCAAACCCCGAAGCGAGAAGTGCAACCCATTTGCCTGCAACTTCTGACCAAATTCGATCGTACATCGACACATCCGTGACAAGAGCGTGGTTCCATCGGCATAGATCTCATTCACTTTCCTCTGGGAGAGCCCCAGCACGACCCATTTCAAGGCCTCAAGGGCACGTGAAGGCACATGCGAAACGAAAGGAAAGACGGCATGGCTGGGGAAGCTGGGCAGGTTGGCAGAACTTACTTCAACAAAGTCAGGGGAAAAAGAACATGTTATAAGCTCCAGAAGGCGAAGGCATAGAGTATATATCTATGTAGTATATAAATATGGATATATAATTATATATATTAGCATAACATTACAACATGACCTTAAGGAAAAACACAGGAAATGCGTTTTTAGTTTGTATACGGTTAACTTACCCATCATGAGCCTCATTTGGGCACAGCATGGCACAGCCTGTCAAGAGGGTTCTCCCGTGCAATGGCCTGGTGCGGTGAGAACAGTAGATCACTTAGGGGCACATGGAAAGCTGAAATGGAGATGAGGCACTGGCATGGGGAAGAACATTGAGATGAAGACTTCTTCTGGATGAGGCAACGACATGGGGAAGTACCACTTAAAGACTGGACGACCTGACCAATCTAAGTATCTGGGAACACCGGCAAGTTACGGCAAGTTGCACGGTGGAAGATGAGTGAAGCGGGTTGCTGACGCGCTGGACTCTTTTTGCTGAGGCTTGTGTGAAGCGGGCCACGTTTTCAGCAAACATCTGTGAAATCGCTTCGCATGAGCCAGAAATGACGGCGTGAAACGCCTACCGGAGCGAAGGTGCGTGGAATTGGTGCGAGGAAACCCATGGAATTGTTATGAAATGTTGATTTCCATTGATTTCCCACATATTCCTACATTGGCCGCTGCAGGCTGCTGCCTTTCATGAATCGCCTCTCTCTTGCAACATATGCGTCAGCAAGGCGATGTGTTAAAACACCATGTAGCTGCTACATGCCTGCATCATGCATCCCTCCATCGCTACTTGCATCCCAAGTGGCATCAATAAACTCCTTGCAGCCCTGGAATCCACAGCTCACATGGTATCCGCTTTGCCGTGCCTTTTCCGCCACTTTGGGATCAAACATCTTCCAAGGCTGCTCTCGGCCATGGTCCGTATTCCTCGGACGTGGGAGCGTCCGAGGTATTCCTCGGAGTGGGATCACCCCAAGAAGGAGGCATCACCTCAAGGATCACCTCCTTCTTTGTGGGAGGTGATCCTTCTTGGATCCTGAGACCTTAGGGGCACAGGCATCACCCCAAGCAAGTCTTCAAGTCTTCAAGGATTTTGTTCTGGAGCCTCAGAGTCTTTCCACCCCACACTCAGTCAAAGGTCTGTAAAGATTGTAAAGACTCGTTGAGCCTTCTAAATCGAACTCCATCGCTTTGGGTCAAGTCTTGACTGGCACCCGCATCAAGGATAAAACATGATTAACATGATACATCCCCATCAGGACTCTTGGCTCACGCTTCCCAAGTGGTGGTTGAAAAAGGCTCCAAACACCATCTTGGGCTTGGGGATTTGAGCCAAGAGTTCTGAGGAAGGTATACAACTCCTGTGCCATACACTGGCAAAAAAAGAGCGCTTAGTCAAACAGCACTCTCAATTACCTCCATCAGCATGCATTAAAGAGGGAAGATGATAATGGACCCTGGAGACCCCCCCCGGAGATGTATTTTTTCTCGATCTTCCCAATCTCCTCCATCATCAATGTTCAGACTTTGGAGCTTTGGAGCAGGTACAAGTCTCCGTTTTTGTTGGGAGCTGGTGATAGCTGGTGGAAAAATCGGGCACCCGATCTTTCTCTACAGTTATGTCGGCCGCGCCAGCCACAGGAAGAAGGAGCCGAAAGAATGTTATAAAGCAAAAACAAAGCAAAAAAACAGCAAAAGGTAAAGCAAACAAAAAGCACAAACATGTACAGTAGCTGTGCGTGTTTGTCGCTTTTTTTCACTTTGTTTGTCGCTTTATTTTCGCATGTTTTTCGCTTTATTTTCGCATTTTTTTCGTTTTTCCTTGGAGCGTACGGCAAATATTGCTGACGGGTAAAAGTTCTCATAAGTGCAGAAGTGGTACCAGGAAAAAAGCAAAAAAAAACAAAACAAATGCAAACACAAAGCAAATTGCGCTGCTTTTGCATGTTCATTTGCTTTTGTTTTGCTTTTTTCACTTTTTTTCACAAAAAATATTTGAAGGTTGGCCATCTGTGGCTGCCATTGGGCAACATAACTCCACAGCTTGGTAAGCAACGAAGGGTGGGTAGCAGCAACCTTTCGCGATTTCTGAAATGCTACCAGCCCAAATGCTGCCAACGTTGGCTACAGGCCTGTAGCGGCCTGTAGCGACCTGTGGGCTTCACACCCTCAAAAAGACCCTGAATCGCAAACTCAAGCCCAAGCCTCATGTTGACTGTTGATGAGTGAACTCCCCCACACATTCTCTTCCAACCAAACCACCTGAAGGGCAAGCAACTAACTTTGCTTTGCATCACCCGCGGTCCCGCGAAGGGAAAAAAAACACGTCTCCATCAACGACGCCCCAAACACCACTAAAACACGACCGAAAGGTCGTCCAGCTGCGATTCGCGCGTCGCGGCGGTTCGCCCGGGCGTCGGCCATTCGCCCGTCTGATCGTCTCGACGACGAAGGATGGACATCACATCGTCCGTGATGACCTCGGAGAGGGTTTTTGGACAAGCCGCGTTGGTGTGGGATGCAAAGCACTCACGGTGTTTGTTGAACCGAGGGCGTGAATTCGGAACATGCGGCAGGGAAGTAGCCTCCTGGGTCCGAGACAGGCACATATATAATGTAATGCAGACTCCTGATTAATAAACAGCCCCCCCCCACCCCCCCACATGGTAGGTCAACAAGGTCAAGAAGGTATGAGATACCAGTCATGAGGTCCACCTCTCCTGAATAATGTGCTATGAGACCATAGGACCATGAAGGATGATACCAGGCTTTGAGGGGATGAGCTGATGAGCATGAGGCCAGAGTCCATATAGGAAGCAATGAGTTCATAGTCGTAGGAAGCAAGGGATGAGAGGAGTTGGCTGGTAACATTTGGGCGCAGTATGAGTTGAGAGTCCATGAGTTGATTGATGAACCTCCCTTAGTTAATGAATTAATTAAGGAAACCATTACTATTTTTGTGGCTTGTGTGGGCCCGGATTAACTGGGGGGGGTTTCTGATGCCCAACTAGAAGATTAGGGGGGGAACTAGACACGAATAATACTTTTAATTTGGACAATTTCCGGTGGCTTTGTGTGTTCGGATTAACTAGGGGAGGTTTATTAATCGTGACTTTGCATTAATATTAAATAATTTAGTATAGTTTGACTTGATGTTTGGATCAAACGCTGCTGCTTCAAGTGCACAATGCTTCAAGTGCCCACCGTGCCCACCTGCTTTCAAGCACGTTTATCACTGGCTGGTACTAGTATTGAATAAACTTGCTCAGTACTTGGTGGTGTTCCCAAAGTGCCTCCGTGATCATCGATAGGCACCAGGCCACCAGGCCCCAAACCGAACAACAAGTTTCCTTTATAAACGCACCACACTGCAGGAATCATGGCAAACACAGATCATGCCAAAACGTCATATACAAGGGATCATACTCGACCAGCAGCCTTCCCAAAAATCCAAAACCTCTTAGTGCACACTTCGCTAAGCCTCGGTGGCTTACTACGAGGCAACAACAAAAACACCCGCCCGCTTTGGCTCGCTCGCGACCCACGTGTCGCGGCCGTGGCACGTACTGCAACAGTGGCACGCTGGGGTCCGGATCGATCACTGCTCCTTGGTGGCCGAGGCGGCCGGTCAAATCCGTGGATAGATCGATCTGGGAACCAAAGAGGGTCCCCAAAAAAACAGTGACATTTAGGATGTATTAGTTATTGGTAATCGTAGAATCCGAACATGACCACAAACTCAGATTGAACATGACAGATTTTGTTCATCTGAAACAGGCACTATGCCGGGCCAGCGAGCGACCAGTTCTGCTTGTATCTCAAAATCTGGCAGCAAGAAAATAATCGAGGCGAATACACATGCAACCTGTTTGCCATGCAAGCTTATAGTCGCATTTGGTGCTCCGAACTTTGTAGCATCGCCTCTGAAAGCCCCTTTCTGGACTGTTGCTCGTATTTTTGCAATGAACTATGATATGAATTGATATGATATGATATGATATGACTGATACTTTGGGATCATGGGCTGAATCGAGAAGCGCCGCGGAATTCCAGCATCGTCCGGCTTCCTTAGATGCGCGGACCTCCTCATTGTTTTGGGAATCAAGAAACAAAAGAAGCCGATGCACATCAACGACCTGCCAGCTGCAGGGCAAGTGAGTTAAACGAGATGGTTGAACATCTTGGCACAAACACTTTTGTTGTCCAAGCCATGCAAAAAGTAGTTCTGGGCGATCTCAGCCGTGCGCCGTGCGCATCCGTGCGCATCCGTGCGCCGATGCGCCGTGCACGACCGCCGAGCTTCGGTTTTGCTTTGCCTGGATCAAACAACTGCACCAAGCTTGTGGGTGGTCTGGACTCGTCGGCTGCCGCCAGGTAGACTTTCCTCAGGGGCTGGTTGGTGGCCAGACTGCCCCGACTGCCTCCAAATCACAAGACCATTCCTCATGAACCTCCTCAGGGTGTGGGAAAAAATGCCAAAGAGCCATTCATCTGACCTGCAGTACCCGTTGATCAATGATTCTTTCCGGAGTCAAAGATTACTCCAAACCAGCTGGGCAATGCCTTGGTCGTTCCTCTCATAAGCTGGTTGCTCCCAGGCAGGTGAACACGTCTTGGATTCTTGTCGATTCTGGGAAGGAATCGACGAAGACCATCCTTCCAGAGGTGCAGCCCCGTAACCTGGCAGTTTGCCTAATATAGACTCTTGAGTATATTTGGCAAAACATATGAAGGGGATTTCCAATTCAAATGGAAGGGTTTATGGTCCTCAAGAGTCTACATTATGGTTTTCACGTGTTTTCACCCTATATCTCGCATTCAGGTCTCAGATCCTTAATGGTCATGAGCTGTGCCACTTCGGCATCCGCCACTGTGGTCTCCAAGTGGCCTCCACTCGGTCCTGAGGTACGTCAGCGATACACCGAACGCGCGGTAGACCGAAACACCGGTTTTTTTGCGGTGTGGTTGTCCCGGAAGATGGACAGTCACTAACGTTGTGTGGTACTCTGCATGTTCGCCCAGTGGATGGGGTTGCTTCCTTTCACCTTGAAAGACATGCAGCCCCACACCCAGCAGTTGCCCCTACCTGCCATGAGTTGACTAAGTTAGAGGTCTGCCACTCAAAGAAACCCTAGAAAGGACAGTAATGACAAAGGAGACAAATGACATATGGATACAGGGCATGGGATTCGAAGCTCTGAATGTCCGGAATCTGCCACGTGAATTTTGACCTGACCTGCTATCAAAGGCATTACCCGGAGCCCTCAAAACCATGAAAAACAAAGGTTTTCACATACAAAAACCATGTTTTTTTGCTAGGGACAACTAGGTTTTTGATATTTTTTTATGGTTTGTGGGGCCAAATGATGTATAATCTATGAATCACGACCAGCCATGCTCCGCATCTGGGCGGCCTCCCAGCCAAAGGGTGCACTCAATTGGTGCTTGCAGAAAGCAGCGCACCCGTTGAGAAGAACACTCCAGGACACAGGACGATGCGTAGTGCTACTGTAAGTCTGACACTTTCAGCAACAGAAGCTGCCGGCAATAGAACCACATGACGCACAAGCGTCCGCTGGTGGGCTTGGTGGGATGGCCACTGGGTCCGAAGGTCCTGCATGGTCCTGCACTTCTTTGACAAAATACTGCCCGCCTTTGCTCTTTGCATCTGTACAATATATATATATATACATTAGTAATATATATATATATGATTGAATGTATATATAAATACATATCCATATGATTCCATATGTATATATATATATAATATAACTATTGGTGTGTGCGCGCGCGTATGCTCACATGAATGATCATGAATAATTACAGTTCAAAGTATTTATACGCTTCTCAACTCCACCCAAAACGAACTGCAACTGAGGATCGCATAACTCGAATAATCGGCATAAGTCAAATGGCCGGAAGTGGGAATCAGCTGGAACGCTCTTTCGCGCAATTTCCGCCGTCTCGCCCACTGGGCAATGTCTTTGTTAGACGGCCCAGGTGAAACAGGGAAATGCGAAACACATGCGTTTTGGAGACTAGGAATTTGCTGAAGAGTTTGACTTTCTTGGTTGAATGCCCTTCCTGCCCTGCCAAATCTGCTACTTGCTGGAACCTAACTCTTCATCAAACTTCAATGTGGCAGGAGGCAAACCATGGTCCTCTCTTTGAATGGCCACCCTGTTCAAAGGGGTGCTCACCTGCGAACACTACGCCACTGGTTCAGGCCCTCCAGTTGAAAGCCTTGAGCCTATGGCTGCACATTAAATTACATTACCATCAGAAAGGAATGTTCCAACAGCGTCACTTGGCACATCTTGGTACGGCGTTTGGTTTGTACTGATGTATGCATCACACGGGTTTGATTTGTTCTGTGGCATGGGCCCTTTTGTAGTGGTGCCACCCAAATCACTCTTGCTACACTATTCGTCAAACGCAATGGACCTCTAGAATCAGCAAGACCTCTTGGCACCAACGAAATGGGTTGAGACATCTCTGCAGCCCAGATGCCATATGCAAATGCCTGATGGCCGGCGAGTGCAGGAAAATCTCCTGGCGAATTCAGTTCATGCAGATTCTGGGCGACACGCAGGAGACACGAACTCTGCTCAACCGTGTCTTGACTGGAAGCAGTCAAGCAATGTCATGTCATGGATTGAGCAGCTTGAAGCCATGAGGAAAATAGATGAACATAGTACGCCTGATAACGTGAAACTGTCATATTGAACATTGCTAGCATAACTCGCGTAAATTCAAAACTGGATTCATATCATTGAACAGCACACCTTGATTGATCTTTTTTTTTGTAATAAGTAAATATATATATATATATATTCTTCTTTAACTCTTTGCCATTGACACTGTTACTGACAAAATGCTCGTTCTGTGTGTGCTGGGCCATGAATCAAAGCAACTGAGCCAACCAAAAACACCCTGAACCAACCCTTCACGTGTCATGAACACGGCATGGCCACCACATGATGTTGAGGCATAGCCAGTCTGTTACAGTCTTGTTTGGGGGTCTTTTTTGGGCAAAGCCCGGCACATTGGACTCATTCGGTGCCTCCAGGGGCGAGGTTTTACATCGGCCCCGTCGACAAACGAGGTCTTCGAAAACCACGTCAGCCATCCTCGTGACGTCGCGGCTCAAAACCTCGTCACTTGTTCAATGACCAGTTATCACATAGTTATCACGGCCACTGACATGAAAAGTACGTGATTCAGTGACCTCGTGACTTTAATGAAGGAATCTTCATGTGTTCCATTTCAGACCTTCAGATTCCTTCCTTCGCTTGAGAGGTCCCACACTGAGGATCCGGAGCCCCGGTGCTGTCAGATCGTCAGACCGATGTCCGCAGCCAAGAAGAGAAGGGCGACAGCTTCACCAACTAACATGCTTCTTGTTAGTAGTAGCCTCTTGCTCCGTTCGTAGCTTCTTGCCAGTTTCGCCCCGTTCGTAGCGTCCGAACGCTCCGTTCGGTAGCGATGCTCTTGTTACGTGCGTAGCGGCGCCCAGATTAGCCTGGTGGGTTGGCATCCCGAACATCGAGGAATCGGATGGAATCGGTTCATTTGATCCGTGGTCCACGGTGAGATACGGGGTTTTGATCCACCGCCACCCAAAACGAGCTCCAAACGGGTCCCAAGCCCCCCAAGGTTCGGCGAGAAACGACGACCGAAGACCCATCCCAACGGCTGGCGCTCCAAAGGGCCACGGCTGGCGAAGAAGCTCACCGTGATGGAGAAGACTAAGATCGAGGCCCAAACCTCGCGATCTTAAGGAACGAGGTTTGACACCCGAAACAGTTCCCAAAAACCCAAGACTCTTCATGGCCCAAATCCTCAGGTGGTTGGATCCCCCAAACGTAGTTGGAGCCCAACCGTAAGGTTGATCAAGGCGCGATGGAGGTGCGATGGAGGTGCGGGTTTTGGGTGTTACACTCGGAACACACGTCAGATGGAAGTGGATTATGGACTCAGACTCAGGGTATAGCTAGCTACTTATATTGGCTTCCAAGACATGTGGTTGTCCACTTCCCAGTCGGAGGGTATTGGGCTTGGCTGCTCTTTTCTTTCACGTGCATGGTTCGTGCTAAGCATTCCCTGAATGGTTGCGTTGGGTACTTGCGAGGCGATGTGGAGCGGTTCTCGGGATGGCAACGGTCCCATTGACAAGTGCCTAACTGAAATCGTGGTGGAAGTTGCCATTATGGTTGAGTTGGAAGTGCAACAAAAAGGATCTCTTTAAACCTGGTGGCAACAATTGGTGGACGTTCTTCCGCAGGATTGTTACAGTGGCAATTCACTGCAAACCAAAAGCAGGGAAAGGGGCTTTTTGGCCACAGTCAGTCTGAGTGTTTTGTGGTGAGTGGTGTTCGATAGATACGATCAAGTACGATAAATGATATTCGATAGATATGATCAAGTATGATAAATGATAAATGCGGTCAAACGCGGTGCAGCATGATGCTTCATCAGAACCATTCATGCCTTACCTGCATGTATGTAGTACAAAGTAAGGGGTTATACTATACAGTATGTATATATATATATGAACCTGAACCTGGATGTTTTTGTGTGACAAAACATGTCATGTCATATATTGTATTGCGTGCATCTGAAGTTGAAATTCTGACTTGCTGTTCAATGGCAGGGTCAGTATTGAAATCTGAGAATTTGCAGCATCTGGACTACCCCATGCTTGCCAGATCATCAATTCGGAACGCGATGAGCTCCATGCCGAACAAACACCACCCAGTCGGAACCTCTTTTCTGCCACTAAGACACCAAATACCAATACTTGGAGACGGTGCACGTGTTGGGGTCGAAGGCCAGCAAGAACGAGGTCAAACATGCTGCCTCAGACTTCTAGCTCAAGTCAGCACATGCCTGCGGCAAATGCAGTGCTTCATAGTGAATAGTGTTTCAAAAGGCAAAGCAAGAAACCACGTGCCTCAGCACAGTCAAATGATTACATAATGCGGACAGTTGAGGTCACTCCTGGACCTTAGCACCTTTATAGGCAAGTTGCCAGGCCAAAGGTTTGCAAGCAAATCGGTATGAGGCCGTACAAGAAGAAGGGCTTATCCGTCAAGCATCTGCAAAACCCACGCGGCGAGCTTCGCGTGGACATGCGGAGGTCTTGCTGAGTCGGTGTGCTGCTTGGTATGAGGCATGCATGGTCCGTGGCAGCATCAAGTTTGGTCAAGCTGAGTCAAGCTCTGGCATCAGTTGGAACTGACTGGAGGATGAATCCTCTTTTCTCTCCCTCTCTCTCGCTTAGCTCTCGCGCTACCTTAACGAGGTGCTCCTCACGACAGGGCTCGGCTTTCCGCTCGTCCGGTCCTGTACTGACTGATGCGCGTCAGTAGGGGCGACGGCCGCCCATGAAAGAGGATGTAGTCACCCATCCGCAGGTTCAAGAATTCGAGCCAAAAGCGGTACCTCCGTAGGTTCGACAGCAGGAAACGGCCGAACATCATCATCATTTTCCCGTGCTCTGAGAAGCAAATGTCAACTTTGCCCGCACGATCTACGACAATCATTGTCATTATCCATCGGGGAATCTATCTGACGTCTGTAGAGGAACCAAGAAGAATTACATAGAATTACAGTCATGATTGCAGGGACAGGTTTTGAACATGAGAACTTGCACATTTGCGAGGAAGAACAACATCAAATGAAATGAAGAAGAACAAAAAAAATGGAAAAAACACAATCTAAACCACAACCACCTGCCCTTCTTGACCCCGATTAAAGGCTTCTTTGAACTCCCTCGGCCGATGGGACGGACGAAAGTGAACGTGAAGCCGAGGGGCCGAGCTCGATCCAGCATACCTGGAGCTGAGCTCGAGAGAAGGGAGCGGTACCCGTGCAGTTGACCACGGTGTGAGACGGTCCGAGGGAGAGGGCGCACGGTTTGACCCGGTGGTTGCCCGATGGGTTTGGGGAAGTCACCCCGCACGGCTCGTGTCACTGGTCAGGAATCTTCCGAGTCACTGAGGGCCAGTGAAGCATGGAAAGCAATACCCAGACACGACTAATGGGACTGACATATATGCCGGCCCATTGACCCCCAAAACCAGCCCAATGCAGGCATATATGGCATAAATGGAGTGTCTGGGATATGTACCACTGTGGGCAGTTCAAGCAAACATCCAGCAGGCGTTTGGCTTAAGCTGGGCAGCGCCAGCGGCTAGAAGCAAACAATCAACAATGACAGCGCTCTCAGCATCCAACTGCTATAGTATAGTCATCCAAAGTACTTTGACCAATTCACTTGTTTCCGTCATCCTCCATGCAACAGAATAGTTCCTATAGGCTGCCCGCGCATCCCAAGCATGTTGTCACAATAGGCGCTGGTTGTGTTGTAGATTTGGTCGTCTGCTGCCATGCACCTAATGAGTTACTCTGATCCTCTCTGTTGGTATGGAATCTGCGCTGATTGGCCGTCGTCTCCAGGTGATTTTTGCGGTGCCAAGGCACCGATGATGAAGGCATCGCTGGCGGCTGCGGCCAAAGCGGCTGACTTGGACAAGGAGCGCCAGGGGGGTGTCGAGACAAAGCCCGTGCGCTCGCTACCTCCCCAAACCCGCAGGCACGCGGATGTAGCGCGGGATGTTGGGCGCGTGGAGAGAAGGTGGGCCGCTTGGAGGCTCAAATCCACTGATGCTTCACAGGGACTGCGTTTCAACAATGTAGATGGCACGAAGCCACTTGAGCATAACCGTACCGTTACGTAGCTACTCGTACGGGTTATGTAGCTATACTATAACGACAATTGGATACAATTGGTGTTTTTATTTCGTTTCTCCCTCGTCCCTGACAGGACTATTCAAACGACCCCCCAAAAAATCCTGCCTGTGTGAAGCGGGCTGATGAAAATCTCCGTGATCCTGAGTGAAGAACGGTGAACATAGATGAACATAGATTGCATTTTACCCCCCGGTGTTAAACTCAGGAAGTAATTATTAATTACAATTAATCAACCCCACGTGCTTGTGTAAGGTAAAGGAACATGGTCATCCAGCTGGCCTATCTTACACTTCCATGATTATTATGACTGTGCCAATGTGTGCATGAAGACTGAACCAGAAACTATTGGTCGTGCAAGATCGTTCGGTGAAACATGATGATATGATATCATCCCCAATAGCCCAATCCGAATGGAACAAAAGGTATCATGTTTTTCCTGTGGATGATTAATTTATTCCCTCTTGAAACCACCCAAATGAAGAGCCGTTTCACTCCAATTGGGAGGCTCTTGTATGCCTCAAAAGTCCGAAAAAAGGGCGCCCTCGCCACCCCTATCCACACCTCCACCGTGCTGGAACCCAGCACTCACGCCGAGCAGCGGCGTCGTATCGCCGGGGAGGCGAAAATCGGTGACGGTGCCAGTGAAGAGCATCAACGGCAGGAAGGGATTCTTCCCCACATCCGACCTCGGACGGATTCCGGTGGCGACAAATGAATGGCCAAGTGACTGGAGGAGCTAAATCCAGCGATGGACGGAAGTGTACTTAGTAGTAAGCTTATAAGCATAGGCCATAGTGCACGATCCACACTATAGCCTAGTGCACAATCTGTACCAAGTACAGAACAGGAGCAAGGACGCTACGAACGGGGCGAAACTGGCATCGCTACTAGTAACAAGAAGCTAATTACTATATCCCAAACATTCCCAACCGCTCCATGGGACTGCCATAGGACTACCGCCCCAGAACAGCAAACCCCCTGCCCTGAAAGAACCCCCAAACCGGCCTGAGAACTTGGCACTGCTATGGCAGTCAGTCACACAGCAGTCGTGTCTAGACTGTCTGGGTGTCATGCTTCACTGCTCTATGTTCCAAACCAATCCCAATCTCGTCCTCGATCAAAGTATGCTTTCTGTAAGCCTTGCTCGCGGTGCAACACCGGTGGGGTCAAACATCACCGGTGAAACACCGTGATGGTTACCGAAACAAAAAAAAAACGACCCGTTTTTGCCGCATGCATGGTTTAGTCAACCACCGCTACAGGTACATTTATGTCATGTAGATTGATTTGAACATAGTATTTAACAAATATTAGGTACAAATGAGTTAGGACTTTGGTGGTCGGATGATTAGGACTTGCCTGGGTTAACACCAAACTCACGTATGTTGGGATGGTGGGCATGCCCTACATAAACTCAAGAGATGGGAAACACATAGAGGAACCATGCCTGGAAGTCCTATCTTATAATTGTCGGAACAGGTTTCGGACACAAGATTTTTTTTTCACTGCCCCAGCCTCATGAGCTAGGAGCTATGTATGCAAAAATTATCCAAAGGTATCCAAAAGTACCTGTTTACATGAGATAGGACTCATGGTTTTTGGTGTACCTCCGCTAACTCCTAAGTCATGAGTATACACAGTATAAAAAATATGGTTCTTTGTCTCACGCTAGAGTCTGGCGTTCCCACGCAGCCGTTCCACAAAACTGTTCCATGTCGTGCTGGTTTTTGGGAGAAAGAGCTTCCAGCTTCCAGCTTCGTCGCTTCACATCTCTTCGGCATGAGAACTCTGAGGCCCAGGCTTCGAGCATAGAAGGCATGGGAGAGTGAATGCAAGTGGTGGTAAAAGAGTGAGATGATGAAGGCACCTGGTGTCTGGTGCGCGCGCTTTTGGCGCTTTTCGCCAGGCCGATCGTGTCGTGTCTGCGCCACCAAAAGCATGCACAAAAAGCCATGGATGCCCACCAAACTGAGAGACATTCAGAACTGCGAGAACTGGCTTCTTCTCTTTGAGGGATCTTCTCACCCAGCTTGGTCACGGTTGGTTGAGAACCGGGTGACGAGTGACACCTCTCGTGCATGCGTGTGTAGACACGTATGTGCGATCGTAACGGTGCTGGACGGGGAGATGGGACATGGGATGGAACATGTGAACATGCATAAACAAAAAAACGTGCTTCATCGTACTTCTAGTCACAGAAGCTTTTCTGAGAAGGTGTGTTTTTCCCAACCAAGGCGCAAGTGAACATAAATATGACAAAGATTCTCCAACGCTCCTTGCATGGGGGCTGCAGGTGGTGTTCGACTGAACGCTTGAGCTCGACTGAATCTTGAAGGAACAAGCTTGGTCCGGAAAACTTTGGTGTAGTAAATGTTAAACATAAACTATAAAGTTGTTTCAACAACAACGCAAGCTCCCTTGATGATGGCCACTATACTAATACTCAGTGGCCACTGTTCAGCAGGGGCCCTCAAGACCATGAAAAACAAAGGTTTTTTCACATACAAAAACCATGTTTTTTTTTGGGGGGGGTGTGCTAGGGTAAACCAGATGTTTGATGGTTTGTGCGGCCCCTGGCACAATCTAGACTCCTGATTCATAACACTAAACCGTCCCATTTGGATTGATATGATGGGGGGGTTATAAATTAACATGTTCATCGCGTTCTCGTAAGACTCGTCAGGCTCCGCGGAAAACGCCGCGTTCTCGTCGAGGCTCCACCTCAGGCCATGGGGACAAACCCCAAGCATAGCTCCTCAGGCGGAAGGCTGGCGCCCGGCGGAATTGGAACGGCTCAAGCTGCTCAAACCCGCAGCTTTACCCCCAACTCCAGAAGCTCAGCCGGCTGAAGCTGAACTGTAGCCCCAATACACTCTGACTCACTCACATGGAAAGTGGACATCACGCTGCCTGTAACGGAATGTTATATATAGTGTTATGTTATGATATCCCTAGGGCTCCTGGCCCACCTCCGTATCGAAGGTGGTTGGGGTAGGTGCCAGGGGGGTCTAACCACCGAACCTGAGGATATAGTTGGAGCCCGAACGGGTCTAGTCCTTTCAGTGGTCAGGACTTCCACGTGCTCCGCTCCCGTGCGCGGTGTCTCACCGAGCCGCTGAGCCGTGATGGGCCCATAAATCCGGAACTGCACCAAGCTCCCCACGATGAAGAGGGCAATCACCGGACCCAACAGTGATAAGGTCCACCTGAGGACCAACCGGTGAGCGAAGGAAGTGATAGGAAGTGGAAGGTTCCGTCCATTCAGAAAAAGCATCTTGAACTTTTGCATCGTTTTGCATCGTTTTGCTGCTTGAACTTCGTCTCTGCGCTCGAAGTCGTGGCAGTCTTCATAGGTGGCCCCAGTGAACAAGAATGAAAAACAAGGGCGGTCTTCGTAAGTTTGTTGTGGGTGGAGGGGACGAGAGCGGGGGAAAACACTGTGCCCCCAAGGCTTCAAGAACCGATGGGGGGGCTCGATCCACAGGCGGAGCGGGATGTATCTTTGGCTGCGGGTTGTTGGGACGTTTCATCGTGGGTGGAGCACCAGCTGGGCTCTGCTGCCTGCCAGCTGGTCCGAGCTCCTGGCAGGAACAGGCCGCTGAAGAAGGGGTTCAAGATCAAGGACACAAACCTTGGCAAAGGACCCAAACAGAATTGCATCACATCCGCTTGGCAGTGGACAGTCCTTAGTCCTAAACCCCAGTAGAATGATGAAGCCTCTCTGCCGCAGCAGGTCTCAGATGCACCAATGTTCATCGTTCGTCCTTGGGAAGATCCCAGTGCTTAGCTCCCTATTGCAGCCGTGTAGCAGGCCAAGCCCCAAGAAGACACCCACCGAAGTGAAGCCAAAATTGGAGGAAATCCGGGAGATGATATCATTCCTCACATCCAACTCACCCAACCAACACAACCTCTCTCCGCAGATGGCTCGGAAAAGCCGAGCAAGCCGGTTCTGCAAGCCCACTGAATCGGTCCAGCAGTTGGTCTGTTACCACATGAATTCCTAGAAAAAGTCAGCAAAGAACATGTTGGAGCGTTGGAGGGGAGATGTCTTATGCTACTTACGGGAGTATGTATGCATGACTTTGAGATTGATTGTATGAGAGTTGATGGGCTCCACCGAACTGGAGGTTCAATGAGTCTCTGACAAATCTCTAACTGTTCGGTTTCCTCATGTTTCCTCCATTTGGCCAGCAAAGCCCACATTGACACGCTGACTCTGTCATACTTATGCCCAAAGTCTAAGATGTCATGTTTCTTGGAATTTGCCCCACTCTTCAGCAAACTCGTTCTACGGGCGAGTAGTTTGGTCTGAACATATGCCTGAACATTGAAGCCAAGCTTAAGCCGGTGCAAAGTGCCAAGTGACTGCAAAGACACAAGGACCGTGTTCAAGTGGACGATTATAAATGCAATCCTGCAAAGGCCGAGCTTTGATTTCCCCAGTTGCCAACACACCCGAGCACACTAAAGGCGTGCTCCATGCCCGAAAATATCTGACGAAGGCTGCCCACAAAGGCCAAAAAAACGGCAGCAAGCAGGGCGCAAGGCGACCCGGCGACCGTTTGAGTTCTCAAGGTTTCAGGCTGCCAAACAACAGCAGCAAGAAACAAGATGTAACAAGAGCGGGGGGCCAGCTGTTCCACTCATGGCTAGCACCAGTTTCTCAAGTTGCTCGCTTCCGAGATTGGTTTCACCTCGTGCCAGGTAGCTCTCTGAAGGTTGCCAGGTGAAGACCCCAAAAACACCAGTGACTCGACCATAGTGGACCACGGCAGCAAAAGAAAAGCAACATCGCTGATCAGGGCGGTCTTGTTGTGCTCAGGCTCAGATTCTTCTTGTTTGATCATCAGCCTGGCCAGGCGACATGTCATTCAACTGGTCGTGGCGCAAATGGCAACGACTGCGGTGGTGGTCGTGGCTCGCGAAGCATCAGGCCTGTAGTCACTTAGTCCCGTAAAGGTACTGTTCAAGGCCCTTTGCTCTGCAGGTGTGAAATAACCTGAAGCGACGAGACAAAGTTACAAAACCACCTCAACTGTTAGGTACAAAGGTGGCAAGGAAGCTGTAAGCTACAGCATGGTACACGATAATGAAGGGAACTGTTGAGGGAAGCCGGGAAGCTGAGATCTGATCGATTCCACATGAGTGTTTTTGTCATGTACCGTTTCTGTTCTCTTTCTCCAAGCCCAAAAGCTCTCGAAATAGGATGCCATCCACCATGGATAGCCATTGTAGAAGTCCTGCATGGCTGCCAGTCTCTGCGTTGTGCAAACAAGCCACATCACATGCTCTTGTGTTTCTTTCGTTTCAACACGTATGAAAGGCACCCTACAGCGGTACATCGGCAGCCCTGCACCCTACCGCGACCCACACGACACGGTCCTCACAGCCACGGTATAACACGGTCCTCTTCGGGGGGTTGTTGGACGTTTCACGACCCGCCCTACAGCAGCACGTCTCACACGGAGTTGGACGTTTCAACGGCTGATCACCGGAGTTGGAAGTCGAGAACTCGCTCAGTTCGACCACTGGGTCTGGTTGAAGTCGGATGCACACGAGAAAGGGGGTTGGCTTAGCTAAGCTTTAGGGATTCGTTCATTCATGTCCTTTTTGATTGAGAGGGAACTTCCAGGTCGATCCCTTGGAAGG